GTGCGGCTTCGGCCGTGCCAGCCTCCAAATCTCTGTTGTGTTGTTTGAAATCCTGGTTATTGTTGTGTGGACCAGGGGGTGTGGTGGAACGCCAAGGTGAGGATCCGTCCGAGCCATCCACCTGCGGCCTCCCTCGTCTCCGATCTTCTTAACTCTGTCTTGACACCGGGCCCAGGCGGGGGAGGAGGAGAGAGTGTAGGTAGATGCAGCGCAAGTCTACCCGCACAATAAACCCCTGCGCAAGTCACCGTCCCTGCTCCCAACGCTGCTGCAGCTGCGGGGCACACGGTGGACATCGTCGAAATCGACGGTCGAACTGTCGGAGTAGGAGTTGGAGGAGAAGAAGAAGAAGAGGAAGAAGAAGAAGTAGAAGAAGAAGAAGAAGAAGAAGAGGAGGAGGAGGAAGGAGAAGAAGAAGAAGAAGAAGAAGAAGCAAAAGAAGAAGAAGAAGAAGAAGAAGAAGAAGAAGAAGAAGAAGAAGAAGAAGAAGAAGAAGGGTGAGATGTGGTGGAGGTAGAGGATGTTAGTGGTAGTTCATGGGAGGGCGCACTGTCTGAAGTGAGTCGTTGAGAACAGACGAAATTCTGCATGATTTTTCCCTAGTTTTTCGTGCTCAACCGTGACGAAGTCATTCGTCGGATGCACGAAGGTTGACTAGAGGTAGGTCGACATCTCCTGGTACTTATTCTGTAGCTGGCGGACGACGAAGATGATGTCGATGGTTTCCTGACGTCGGCGGAAGCCGCACTGCTTTCCGGCGATGTCAGGCAGGGAGATTCCTCGGTGATTATCGCAGAGCCCACGACTGCCTTTCGGATTATAGAGATGTACAATTGTGGCGTCCGTGAAATCTTGGGCAGTTCTTTTTGAACAGAATGAATGCTCATCATGATATTGATTATTAGGCAGCGAATGCCCCAGTAATAGCCCTCTTGTCCATTACAGGTCTGAACGATGACGACCAGGAGACCTTAGCCTCCTCATCAACCACATCTGACATGATGCAATCGCAAATGTCCACAACGGAAACCGGTATTCGCACTGTCTCCTTACACCTGTTTGCCTTCATTTAGCCAAGGTCTGAAAATGTGGACCCGTAAAACGAATTGTGTGTGTCACTCATGTCAGCAGCATACTGTGTAAGGAAACCAGTGGGTATATGAGGCTGTAAGTCGGTGCAGCAGAAGGAGAGCTCGTTGATGGTGGATAGAGCGGTGATGACGAAATGCTTCCGCTAGAAGACTGCGTTGAGCCTGCTTTACCACTGTTCTCAACTTGGCAGAAATTACCACTAGCCTGTCGTGTCACCCGGCCTGTTCATGCCAATCAACCATTCTAACTGGCATCAAATAAGCATTGCAAGGCATATCGGTCCAACACAATTGCTTCCTCCTAATCTCCTCGTCATATAGACCAGCCCATACGCCAGTAAAGGCCCTATTTTGCGTTTCAGATCTGCACCACGACGAAAACGACGAGGAGGAGACTTCATCCCCCTCATCAACCACAGCCGACATGATGCAATCGCAAACACCCACAACGGAAATCGGTATTGGCCTTGTTTCATTACTCCTGTTTGCCTCCATTTAGCCAAGGTCATAAAATGTAGATTTACATGTAAGATGACTGATGTGTGTCACTGGGGCTAGCACCATGCTGCATAACCCGACAAGTGGGCAGATGAGGCAGCTAGTCGGTGCAACTTCATTAGGAGAAGAATGTGGTGATGAAATTGGCCCGAAGCATTGCTTCCGCTTGGAGACTGTGTGACGCCGCTTTACCGTTGAACTCTATTTTCAACTCTGCCTTCCACATGCGCCTACACCGCTGCAGGTTATGGTTGCCTTATATCGGCATTGTATGTGTGTCTGTGTGTGAAAAATTGTACTCTCACGGACATCTCACATCACCAACGCGGCCCTATATAGCATGGAATTTTTCCACCCGAAACATGTCTTACTGCCAACGCTGATAACATTCCTACAGTAGCAGAGAACCCATGCACATAATGATATGGATAATGAGGCCAGCGCACGCGCTAATAAAAGCCCTTTTGTGCATTTCAGATCCGCACAACGACGAGGACGTTTCGTTGCCCTCCTCAACCACAGCCGATATGATGCAAACGCAAACGCCCACAACGGAAATTGGTATTCGCGTTTCTTCCTTACCCCTGTTTGACTGCATTTAGCCAAAGACTATAAATGTAGACCTTTTTGTATAGTGAATGATGTGTGTCAGTGAGGCCAGCAAGAGTGTGTATATAGAGACCAGTGGGCAGAAATGGATGTTAGTCAGTGCGTCAGCATAAAGAGGAGAATGTGGTGATGACGCAATGCTTCCGCTAGAAGACTGCTTTGAGCTTGCTTTGCCACTGTTTTCAACATGGAAGAAATTGCCACTATCCTGTCGTGTCACCTGACCAGTTCATGCGAATCAGTTAAGCTACCTTCCATCAAATGAACATTGCAAGACACATCAGGCCAACACAATTGCTTCCTCCCAATCTCATCATCAAATGGACCAACGTATACGCCAGTAAACACCCTCTTGTCCGTTTCAGATCTGCACCACGACGAAAACGACGAGGAGGAGACTTCATCCACCTCATCAACCACAGCCGACATGATGCAATCGCAAACGCCCACAACGGAAACCGGTATTCGCTCTTTCTCCTTACCCCTGTTTGCCTGCATTTCTTTAAAGGCCCGCTAAACATACCTATAGATGATAAGTGTCATCGGAGCGAGCAAATGGCTGTATTAGTTATTTTCTGGTTGGGAAAGTAAACCGAAGAATCGAAGTAAATCTCAACGAATATATGACCGAAGGCAGTAAAGAACTTGAGCGAACTGGAGGAGCGCATTAACACTGACATTTGCCCACTTAACACATGTCATGTCGAAGGAAATACGTTCGCACGTTGATACCGATCGTTACTGATTTCATAAGCCTAACAGCGTAATGCAGCAACAGACCTCATCCAACTCTTGCATTTCAGCGTCATTCATGTCTATTAGCCGCAGTTATGGATCTAACTGTGCCCGCCATTTCAGCATCACTCTTAGACCACCAGTCGGTCACCAGTTCACACACAGACACAAAGGTTGGGCTGACTGCGAGTTCCAAGTTATTTCGTCAGTCGACAACATTTCAAGCCACGGCTTTAAGCACACCGTGATAGATTCACATGCGTGAGTGTGGCATATGTCACGTTAAGAAGTAGCCATTGCAACCTGGCTCGCAAACCACTGGTCTGCACTCAACAAGTGTACTCACAAGTAGGCAGTCTACGTGCACTGACTTGGGGAGTCAGTCGCATCCTCTCAAAACACGTCGCCTGACGCGTGGTTGGACCGTCAGACATGGGTGTGTGGTAGTCTGAACTGGAGCCCCGCAGCGGAAGTTGAGGCGATTGATGATAGCTGTGGTGGTTGTGGTGGAGGTGGTGGAGTAGGAGTTGGAGGAGGAGAAGAAGAAGGAGAAGAAGAAGAAGAAGAAGAAGAAGAAGAAGCAGAAGAAGAGGAAGAAGAAGAAGAAGAAGAAGAAGAAGAAGAAGGAGAAGAAGGAAAAGAAGAAGAAGAAGAAGAAGAAGAAGAAGAAGAAGAAGAAGAAGGAAAAGAAGAAGAAGAAAAAGTAGAAGAAGAAGAAGAAAAAGAAGAAAAAAAAAGAAAAATGAGAAGAAGAAGAAGAAGAAGAAGAAGAAGAAGAACAAGAAGGAGAAGCAGAAGAAGAAGAAGAAGAAGAAGAAGGGTGAGATGTGGTGGAGGTAGAGGATGTTAGTGGTAGTTCAGGGGAGGGCGCTCTGTCTGAAGTGAATCGTTGAGAACAGACGAAATTCTGTATGATTTTTCCCTAGTTTTTCGTGCTCAACCCTGACGACGTCATTCGTCGGATGCACGAAGGTTGACTAGAGGTAGGTCGACATCTCCTGGTACTTATGCTGTAGCTGGCGAACGACAAAGATGATGTCGATGGTTTCCTGACGTCGGTGGAAGCCGCACTGCTTTCCGGCGATGTCAGGCAGGGAGATTCCTCGGTGATTATCGCAGAGCCCACGACTGCCTTTCGGATTATAGAGATGTACAATTGTGGCGTCCGTGAAATCTTGGGCACTTCCTTTTGAACAGAACGAATGCTCATCATGATATTGATTATTAGGCGAGCGAATGCCTTATTTAATGCCCTCTTGTCCATTTCAGGCCTGTCCGATGACGAACAGGACACCTCTTCCTCCTCATCAACCACATCCGACATGTCGCAATCGCAGTCGCCCACAACGGAATCCGGTATTCGCACTGTCTACTTACCCCTGTTTGCCTGCATTTAGCCAAAGACTGGAAATGTAGACGGACGCGTAACACGAATACTGCGTGTCACATAGGCCAGCAATATATTGTATGACGAGACCAGTGGGAAGATGAGATAGGTAGTCAGTGCAACAGCATACCGATGGAGTGCGTTGATGTCGAAGTGCTTCCGCTAGAAGACCGTTTTGTGCCTGCATAAGAACTGTTCACAACTTGGCAGAAATCGTCACTATCCTGCCGTATTAGCTGGCCAGTTCATGCAAATCAACCATGCTAACTGGCGTCAAATAAGCATTGCAATGCACATCAGGCCATTACACTTGCTTCCTCCTATTCTCCTCATCAAGTGGACCAGCATATACTCCATACGCATGTAAAAGCCGTCTTGTCCGTTTCAGATCTGCATCACGACGAAAACGACGAGGAGACTTCAACCAGCTCATCAACCACAGCCGACATGATGCACTCGGAAATCGGTATTAGCATTGTTTCCTTACACGCGTTTGCCTGCATTTAGCCAATGTCTGGTAAAGCACACCTATAGATGATGGGTGTCATCGGAGCGAGCATATAGCTGCATATGGCTAGCTACACAGACATGCCAGACGGCCGCCAAACTCTAGTATGTGCTACGAATTTGTTCAGTGAAAGAACGACACAAGTTTGCATGGGCCGATACGCGATTACTATCGCTCTCGTCATAGGACATTTGAAGTCGGTGGGCGGGTGGTTAGAATGGGGGAAGTGTAGAGAGACGGGATGCGGAGAAAATCCCCTCCCCGGCTAAGCCAACAGGTTGTTGAAATGAAAAAAATGGGAGCGGAAAAATTAGGCAGATTGGTGGTTAACTCACCGGAAGGAGAAACACATAGGTGCATACAATGGCAAATAATGAGGAGTACGTACTTAGTGGCCTCGAGGGTGTAGCAGACGAAGTGAGGAAAAGTGCGGAAGAGAAGTGACTTTGAGGGTGAGGGCAATGAGGAGGAGGAGGAATGAATGCTGGACGTTGTCTACACGTGCGTGCAAGTGAGCGACCGAATAGTAGCATCAAGTGGACTTACAACAGGACATACCTGAGCTGACTGCTAGTACCACATTTTACTGCCAGTCGGCAGCATTCCAAGCCTCGGCTTTTAGCACACATTGATATATTCAAGCGCGTCAGACGGTTAATAATGAGGAAAATGCGCTGAGGCGTCGACCTCTCTCTCCCTTCCCATTTACTGGCCCCAGCCATAGTCCGAGCCGGTGAGTTATCTGGATTCAATGTCTAATGGCATTCTCTGCGTGCCCCTACATACACCACCTGACCCTCCACACAAAGGCACCAGAAATTTGGAAAACATGTGTCACGTGACCTACATCTCACCTGACTCAGGGTGCCGTAGGTCAGGTTAAGAAGGAGCCGATTCAACCTGCTTCGGAAACCACCAGTACGCACTCAATAACTGTACTCACAACCAGGCAGTTTACGTGCACTGGCTTAGGCCACAGTCAGCATCCATCCATGTCACATCAATTGACGCGTCACGATAGTCTCATATTCAAATCACACATGCAGCAGAGGGGTCGCATGGAAACGGAGGCGAGACTTGCAATTCTTACTTGCGTGGGAGGTGGCAGTTGGGTGCTTGTGGTGTGGGTGGTGGTGGTGGTGGTGGTGGTGGATGATGATGATGTTGCGTGATATAGGTGGCGAAGTATTGGATGGTATGGCGTTGACGGCGGTTGTCTTACCGCAGGTTGTGGATGGAATAAGGATAAGGGCATGGATGGTATCCGCAGGGTTGTTGGGGGGACGGCCGAACATGTTGTGGTGACGGCCGGGTGCTGCATTTGGTAAGAGGATGTGCAATAAGTCCGATTGATGCCAGGAACGTCTGCTGACATCGTGAGCATGTTGCGGCTGTCGAGCGTCAAGGTTGATATTTGTGCGAGGAATATATTTGCGAGCCTCGCGTTTGGCTCTGGCGGCGGTGATGGGGTAGTCTTCATAAATTACCACGCCACCTAGTCGTTGATCTTCTTCAGGCGTCATCAACGTAGTAGCCTCAACTACAACTACTGCTAATCTATATGGCCTGTCAATGCAGTAATACCATTCACCACATTGGCATTTCTCAGCAGAAATCCCACCATCCTCCCGTTTCACCGGCCAACATCAGCAAAGTCAATCATGCAACCTGCCAGTCACAACAGGCCACCACAATTGTATCATCCTCATCTCCACATCAAATGGACCAGCGTATACGCCAGTAAACACCCTCTTGTCCGTTTCAGATCTGCACCAGGACGAAAACGGCGAGGAGACTTCCTCTCCCTCATCAGCCACAGCCGACATGATGCAATCGCAGACGCCCACAACAGAAATCGGTATTGGCATTGTCTCCCTACTCCTGTTTGCCTACATTAAGCCAAAATCTGGTAAAGCAGACGTATAGATGATGAGTGTCATCTGAACGAGCATAGGGCTGCGATTATTTAATATTCTAGTTGGATAAGTAAGCAGAAGAACCGAAGTAAAGCTCAGGGAATATATGTGCAAATGGAGGAGAACATCTGAGCCACTTCGAGGAGCGCATTAACATTGACGTTTGCCCACCAAACACATGTCTTGACTTCCAACACTGATTACTTTCACACGGTAGAACAAAATACGTTCACACGTTGATGCAGATCATTACTGTTTGTATAAGCCTAACAGCGTAATCCAGCAACAGCCCTCTTCCAACTCAAGCATTTCAGCGTCACACATGTGTATTAGCCGCAGTTGTAGTCCTTGCCGTGCGCGCCATTTCAGCCTCACTCTTAGACCACCAGTCGGTCACCAGTTTACACACAGACACAAAGACTGGGCTGGCTGGGAGTTCCAAGTTATTTCGGTAGTCGGCAACATTTCAAGCCACGGCTTTTAGCACACCGTGATAGATTCACATGCGTGAGTGTGGCATATGTCACGTTAAGAAGTAGCCGTTTCAACCTGGCTCGCAAACCACCAGTCCGCACTCAACAAGTTTACTCACAGGTAGGCAGTCTACGTGCACTGACTTGGGGAGACAGTCAACTTCCTTTCAAGCCACGTCGCCTGACACGTTGTTGGAGCGTGAGGAATGTGTGAGTAGTAGTCTGAACGGGAGTCGGCGCAGCGGATGTTGAGGCGACGGCCCGCGGCAGTGGAGGAGGAGGCAGCGTAGGAGGAGGAGTAGGCAGTGGATGAGGAGTAGGAGTGGGAGGATGAGGGCAAGGAGGAGGAGGAGGAGAGCCAGGGGGAGACGCGGTGGAATGAGAGGATGGTAGTGGTTGTTCAGCAGCGGACGCACTTTCTGATTTGAATCGTTGTGAACGGAAGAATTTCTGCATGATTTTTTCGTAGTACTTCGTGTTTAACCGTGACGAAGGCATTCGTCGGATGCACGATGGTAGAGTAGAGGTGGGTCGGCATGTTGCTACCCTTTTACTGTAGCTGGCGGACGACGAAAATTATGTCGGTGGTTCCGCAGTGAGGAGACCTTATTCCGGATGGTTGTTTTGACCGTTGAGATGAATGCGAGCTACATTTGTTCCGGCGATGTCTGGTAGGGAGATTTGTCGGTAATGGTCGCGGAGCAAACGACTGCCTTTCGGCTTATAGGGATGGACTATATTGGCGTGCGTGTAATCCTGCGCACGTCTAATTAAACATAACCAATGCTCATATTGATATTGTTCATTAGTTCAGCGAATGCCTTATTTAATGCCCTCTTGTCCATTTCAGGCTTGTCCGATGACAAACAGGAGACCTCATCCTCCCCATCAACCACATCCGACATGTCGCAATCGCAATCGCCCACAACGGAAACCGGTATTCGCACTGTCTACTTACACCTGTTTGCGTGCATTTAGCCAAGGACTGAAAATATAGAACTACGCGTATAAAGAATGATGTGTGTCACTGAAGCCAGCAACATATTTTATGACGAGACCAGTGGGAAGATGAGGCAGAAGGATGGAATGCGTTGATGACGAAGAGCTTCCGCTAGCAGAACGATTTGAGCCTGCTTTTCCAGTGTTTTCAACTCGGGAGAAATTCTCACTATTCTGTCGTTTCACCTGGCCGGTTCATGCGAATCAATCAGGCTACCTGCCATCAAATTAACACTGGAAGACACATCAGGCCATTACAATTGCTCCCTCCTAATCTCCTCATCAAATGGACCAGCGTATACGCCAGTAAATCCTTCTTGTCCGTTTCAGATATGCAACACGAAGAAAACGACGAGAAACCGGTATTCGCACTGTCTACTTACACCTGTTTGCGTGCATTTAGCCAAGGACTGAAAATGTAGACGGACGCGTAAAACGAATACTGCGTGTCACGTAGGCCAGCAATATATTGTATGACGAGACCAGTGGGCATATGAGGTAGTTAGTCGGTGCAACAGCATAAGTATGGAGTGTGTTGATGACGAATTGCTTCCGCTAGAAGACCGTTTTGTGATTGCTTTAGCACTGTTCTCAACTTGGCAGAAATTGCCACTATCTTGTCATGTCACCTGGCGAGTTCATGCGAATCAGTTATGCTACCTGCCTTCAAATTAACACTGCAAGACACATCAGGCCACCACAATTGCTTCCTTCTAATCTCCTAGTCATATAGACTAGCCCATATTCCAGTAAAAGCCCTGTTGTGCGTTTCAGATCTGCACCACGACGAAAACGACGAGGAGGAGACTTCATCCCCCTCATCAACCACAGCCGACATGATGCAATCGCAAACACCCACAACGGAAATCGGTATTGGCCTTGTTTCATTACTCCTGTTTGCCTCCATTTAGCCAAGGTCATAAAATGTAGATTTACATGTAAGATGACTGATGTGTGTCACTGGGGCTATCACCATGCTGCATAACCCGACAAGTGGGCAGATGAGGCAGCTAGTCGGTGCAACTTCATTAGGAGAAGAATGTGGTGATGAAATTGGCCCGAAGCATTGCTTCCGCTTGGAGACTGTGTGACGCCGCTTTACCGTTGAACTCTATTTTCAACTCTGCCTTCCACATGCGCCTACACCGCTGCAGGTTATGGTGGCCTTATATCGGCATTGTATGTGTGTCTGTGTGTGAAAAATTGTACTCTCACGGACATCTCACATCACCAACGCGGCCCCATATAGCATGGAATTTTTCC